TTACTAAAGGTAATACAGAAATGGCTACAATCATACATTGACAGAGAACTTCCAGAGGTTCAAGCTGGATTCAGAAGAGGCCGTGGAACGAGGAATATCATTGCTGATGCCCGATGGATCTTGGCTGAAAGCAGAGAATATCAGTAAGATGTTTACCTGTGCTTTATTGATTATACAAAGACTTTCAATTGTGTGGGTCATGACAAGTTATGGACAATACTTCATTGTGCTCATGAGGAATCTGTACATGGATAAGAGGCAGTTGTTTGAACAGAACATGGGAACACTGACTGGACTTCCCTGTAGTCTTCGCTTTAGGACCAGGCACCAGGCAGTGTTTCGTTCTGTTGTGCATAGGGTTGCTGACTCGATGGCACCTAACATCAACAAAGTTTCTATTAAGCATCAATACAATTATGTCTTACTCTTGGGTTTGTTTGTTTTTTTAAAGAAAAACTACTGAATTATTTATGCTTTACTTTTGAAATAGTGATTTTGGCATACTTAATCAGTCTTGTTGAAAGATTTCTAGAAAATCATGAACTATCATTGCATATGCCCTTAGTAAGGCTAAATATGTTTTCTGATTAGTTCAGGAAAATAAAATGGAAATTCGCCTGAAAATATGACTGTAAGCCACATACACCTGTGAAAGCTGGACAATGAACAAAGAAGACATTACAATTGATGCCTTTGAACTATAGTGTTGGTGAAGAATAATGAATATGCCACAGACTGCCAAAATGAACAAATGTCTTGGAACTATACTCAGAGCATGACTTCATCTCACGTATCTTGTTCACGTATCAAGACATCATGTATGGTTAAGTAGACTGTCAGCAAAAAAGAAGCAAGACCCCCCCCAGTGAGATTGACACACAGTGGCTGTAATAAAGGGCTCAAACAAAACAATTGTGATGGCACAGGACACCAAGCAGTGTTTCGTTCTGTGGTTCATACACTCAGAGTCAGTACCTAATTGAGTGTCTAACAAGGAAACCCTGTACAGGGTCGCTATGGGTCGGACCCGACTCGATGGCACTTAACAACAACAACAACAACAAGCGCAATAGGGCACACTCAGCTACCTGCAAGTCCTCGCATCCCCCAGAGGTGCAGTGGAAAGCTCACTCTCCTTGGAAATTGTTCTATTTTAGGTATTAAATTTCCCTAAACATAGTCTACATGTTTTACTTTTTTTCTCTCCTTTTATACCACACATTTGTGACAAAAAACACCACTACAAATTGGTTTCCCATGGAAAAGTACTGACTCATTTTATTATTAATATTAGCACTTGACACCAGAGAAATGAAGGTAATTTTACAAACTAAGACTTTTTTAAGTATGTGAAAATTCCATTTTATATAAGTTTTTTTTTTATATATATCAAATACATTTCTCTACAACTACTTTCGTACAGCTCCACTGGAATTATTTCAGTCACTCCTAGTATATGACTTGACTAAAGTATTTGAATCTAAACAAACAGTATTTGAATTGACTAACTTTTAAAAGACAGATAAGGAATAAAGTTAACAGCTGATGGTTAGGGATATTACTCTCCAACAAGACACTTTGTCAAAATTTTTCTTTGGATAAAGTTGTTATAAATTAGAATCTTCAAAATATGACGGTAGAACAAGAGTTAAATAAAAGTAGCAGTTTAAGTGCCCCATATTTCTAAACCTCTAACAGAAACAAGGCAAAGTATCTTTCTGACAAACTAAATAGGATACCAGTATTTCAAACTAGTTGAACTTGCAGAGAAAGAGGCCTAAGATACATCATTATTATATATGCCATCTTGGCCTTAGTTGCATTAATTATGTCTGAAGAGCTTAATACCCATCCAAGTCCAAAGGTGGAAGAACACATAAACCGGTATGGTAATGGGCAAGAGCAGACTGTAAAAGCACAAGCTGGCTGTGCTGGTGCAGCCCTGAGGGAAATTGTCTTCCACAGAGGCTGAGTAGAACAGTCCTGCTAGAGAAACCAGGGGGACAAGGACAGTCAAGGTAGGAAGAGACAGGAACATCCTTCTCCCCCACCTGTGGCCTGCCACACTGACTTGTTAACAGGTAAATGGTATGAGAATTCAGTTGTGCATGGGTGTTTTTTCCTTAATTATGGTTTAGTGCTTCTCCATTTCTTCTTTCTTCTTATTTTGATGTATCATCCTAGCTGCCTGTGGTATCATATTAGGAATGCCATCAATGATTGGATATGCTATTCCCAACTCTTCATTTATTAATTCATTTGTCGATGATTCATATCTAGGAAAAAAAAAAAAAGAATCATAAAGTGAATTGTGTAAAACAACATTCTTGGGAGAGCTTGATATTTAATAAATAATACTATTCATCCAATTCTTGACAGAGTTAATTCTGAACAGTTTTTTTTGTGTCTGTTTTTTTTTTTTTTTTTTTTTAATTGCATCTCAATATAAAGAAAACAAAAATCCTCACCACTGGACCAATAAACAACATTTTTATCAATGGAGAAAAGATTGAAGTTGTCAAGGACTTCTTTCTTCTTGGATCAACTAACAACACTCATGGAAGCAGCAGCCAAGAAATCAACTGACATATTGCATTAGGCAAATCTGCTGCACAGGAACTTTTTAAAGTGTTGAAGAGCAAAGGTGTCAGCTTGACGACTAAGGCGCGCCTGACCCAAGCCATGGTATTTTCAATAACCTCATGTGCATGTGAAAGCTGGACTGTGAATAAGGAAGATTACAGAATAATTGATGTCTTTGAGTTATGGTGTTGGAGGGAGGAGAATATTCAAAGTGCCATGGGCTGCCAAAAGAACCAACAGATCTATGTTGGAAGAAGTACAGCTACAGTGCTCCTTGGAAGCCACGATGGCCAAATTTCATTTCTCATACTTCGAACATGTTGTCAGGAGGGACCAGTCACTGGAGAAGGATATCATGTTTGGTAGGGTGGAGGATCAGAGAAAAAGAGGAAGACCTCCTAAAGCAAGATGGATTGGCAAAGCGGCAGCATCCATGGGCTCAAGTGTGGTAACGATAGTGAGGTTGGCCTAGGATCGGGCAGTGTTTCATTTTGCTGTGCATAAGGTCGCTATGAGTTGGTACCGACTTGATAGCACCTAACAACAGCAACAACAACAACAAATAATAGCCAATATTACCACTCCTCTTGCAAAGTAAATGTATAATTTTTTCCGTTTTAGTCGATTTCTCTCAAATTTTATTTGTTTCTATATTCTCAAGTTACGACTTAAAAATTTGGTCTTATTCTACTCATAAAATATTTCTTTTTCAGTCTAACTTGTGCTTCATTCCTCTGGCTACCCCTAAAACCCCTAAAATCAGTGATCTATGAGTGCACATAGGTTGAACGGGCATGGGAGGGAGAGTGCAAGTATACCCATGAATATATAAAAGTTTGACCGAGGCCATCTATATATATATACACGTTTACCTTTGCTACAAACATACGCACGAATGTGGTGGAGCATACAGGGAGCAAAACTACAAAAACTTCTTAGACATTACCAATCACTTCGAGGGAATGAGTTCTTGGGTCTGGGGGCTCAGAACCCTAGTCTCAAGGGATACTATGGTCCAATGGCATAGCACAGTCCACAAAGAAATAATTCTACTTCCTACTTTGGTGGGTAGCAGCTGGGATTTTAAAAGCTCACGAGCAGCCATCTAAGGTGCGATTATTGGTCTCTCCCTGTGCAGAGGAAAGAAGAGTAATGAAAATGCTAACAGTTAGTCCAACGGACTAATGGACCATGTGACCACCAATCTCCATGACTGTGAGACCAGAAAAACTAGATGGGGCCTGGCTACCATGACCAACTGGCGTTGAAAGGCATCACATTAGAGGGTCCAGGAGCAAGCAGGAGAAAATATGGAACAGAACTTAAAAATCATTTTAAAAAAAGAAGAGCCTTACTAGTCAAAGACTGGTGAAACTCCAAAGACTAGCCTTTGGTCACCTTTTAGTTCTGGAACTGAATTCACCCCCACAGCTCAATTTTAGCCAACAAATAGGTAAATATATAGGGGTGACAACACTAGTGAGGTACACATACCACAGAAGAGTCAACCATTTCAGATTGAAAGCACTTACCTAAGGACAAAATTCAGAAGGACTGGGAGGAAAAGGAGGAATAGAAACAAGAAACACAGGGAGGGAACGTAGGATAAGTGATGTTCCAGTGAGGGGACTGTAATCAGTGAGATTAAATGACATGTTTGGATTGTTGAAGCTAAAATTGAAGATCTGCTTTGTAAACGTTGGCTCATTTCACAATACCAAAACCAAAACCAAAACCCACCAACTGCCACAGAGTTGATTACAACTCACCGCAACCCTATGTAGGGTTTCCAAAGATGTACATCTTTGCAGGAGGAGAAGGCCTCCTCTCTCCCAGAGCAGCTGGTGTATTTGAACTGCTTTGACACTGTGGTTAGCAACCCAAGGCACAGCCCATTACACGCCAACCAGGACGCCGTCAAATAAAAGGGTTTTTTAAATTGTTGCTGTTGTTTTGAAAAAGGGGTCTTTTGCAACAGATGTGCCCAATACAATGTTGTTGTTAAGTGCTGTCGAGTCGGTTCCGACCCATAGCGACCCTGTAGAGTTTCTGAGGGTGTAAATCTTTAGGGGAGTAGAAAGCCTCATCTTTCTCCCCCGGAGCGGCTGGTAGTTTCGAACCACTGACCTTAAGGTTCACAGCCCAATTCGTAACCACTACGCTACCAGAGTATACCATTTGATTTCTTGACTTCCATGGGTGTTGACTGTGGATCCAAGTAAAATGAAATCTAGTGCTGGAGCAGAAACTAGAGAAAAAGAACAACTTTCTGGTTTAAGAATAAATGGGCAATACAGAATTCTGGTGTGGCGCTGTGGGTTAATGCGCTGGACTGCAAAGTTGTTCGAACTGCAAGGTGGGTGGTTCAAGCTCACCAGCTGCTCCTTGGAAACCCTATACTGGGTCACTATGCATTGGGACCGACTCAACGGCACTTAACAACAACACCACAGTAACTTAACTAATCCACTAGAAGGAAGCCACTGAAAAATTAAAGCATCACACAAAAAAGTTTGAGAAAGATGGAGTGGCAGAAATGAGGAAACTCTGGAAAGAATAAAGTCTAAAGTGAGCTAATTACACAATTAGCAAAAGACAGATCCACTAGTAAATTCAAGATTTTTGAAAATTAAGTGAATATTATGTCCATTACAGGAAATGTTAAGGAAAAGAAAAATGCAAAAAGATGAAAAATAAAAATGACCAGCAACCTACCACTGAACGACAACACTGTTAACATTTCGTTGCTTGGCTTATGTAATTGTTAACAGTTGTCAATGTTCACTTTCAATAGGCGGAACTGTAGAGCTGCTTTAGCAATGACTCTGAAAGGTGTAGAAAGCAGTTAGTTAGCACAGCTAACTAACTGCCAGTGGCCAGCAAACAAGTTTAAACGTTTTAGCTGTATATGGCATTTCACAAGACGATGGCGGCGGTTGGCATATTTTTCATTACCTCGACTTTAAAATCTGCATGCCTCCGACTTGTGTTGAATTCTGTTTCCCTTGGAGACCTGGAAGCTTGGTCCACCTGGCTGTACATTAGAATGATCTAGGGTCCTTTTAAGAAATTACTAATGCCCAGGCCTCGCTCGCAAACATGGTGATACAGAAATCGGTATTTTAAAAATAAAAATGTACCCAGGTGATTTTAATGCGCAGCCCGCCCGCGGAGCACCTGTCAGCGCGTCTACATTCCAGCTGGCTGACCGTTTGGTTTGGGAGGTCTCGAGCGGCTCCCCTGAGACCTCCTCTTCGACCTTCAGGCCGCCGGGGAGCAGCGTGGGAGCTTGGTAAGGTCGGGATCAAGAAAATGGCAGCGGAGAGTCTCCGGGCTGACCTAAAAGGCTCGCCCACAACCTGAGAAACCCTGCGATCTACCTGCCCTCTCCTCCCAACAGTAGGCCCCAAGGGAAACCAGAACCCGCAGCTCTCACCTAAGCGGCTTCTTGGAGAGCGGGCACACCAAGAACTCCACCAGCACCGGGTCCAAGACCGGGCGTGGCTCTTCCGCCTTCTTGCTCTGGTCCCCCGACAGTCGTGGCCCCGACGCGTGCAGCCACCTGCGGGAGACAGGGGACTGAGACGCATGCGTCCCCCGCAGCGCTGTGGCGAGTCTGCTGCGCGCTCCACTCAGCATGGCCTAGCAGCCAGGGAGCACAACACACCTCACGCTCCGCCAGTCTGGCCCAATCTTCCGGCGACGCCAGGCCCCGCCCCCCGGTGCTCCGGGAAACGCAGCCCGAGAGCGGACCGAGCCTGAGGCTTTGGTTCCGAAAACGCTCGTGCTGTGATTGCTTTCCTGGCGTCACTCTCTGCGGCTAAGAGCGCTGCCTGGGGCCTGAGGTGGGCGCTGTCCTGTGGTCAGGCCAGCGCGTTTAGGAACCTAAAAACCAAATCGATGCTTAAATCCGGGTGTCTTGAGGTTTTTCTTCAGGGATGCCAGGAAGTCAGTGACCATAATAACAACACATAATAACAACAACATGGGTAGGAATTGACTCGACGGCACTTAACAACAACAAGGAAACGTTCTGTAACCTGTTTTGACTTTTTTTTAAAAATTATTCACACACAAAAAAAACCCAGTAAAGAGTGGGTTAAGTTCCTTAACCTCCAAAATGTCTTCATATTTCTTACCCTGCTATATAGGGTCGCTCTGAGGCAGGATCAACTAGATGGCAGTGGAGTTGTTGTTAAGTGCCGTCGAGTCGGTTCTGACCCATGTTTTGTTATGTGCCGTGGAGTCTGTTCCGACTCATAGCGACCCTGTACAGTGTTTCCGAAGCTGTAAATCTTTACGGGAGCAGAAAGCCTTATCTTCCGTGGAACAGCTGGTAGTTTTGAACTGCTGACCTTAAGGTTCGCAGCCCGATTCGTAACCACTACGCTACCAGAGCTCCTTGTTCCGACCCATACCTACCCTGTATACGGTTTCCAAGGAGCAGCTTGTGAGCTTGAACCGCCGACCTTGCAGTTCAAACCGACTTTGCAGCCAGCGCATTAACCTACAGCGCCAAGCAAGCCTATACAAAGACCAAGAGGCAGTCATTCAAACACAGCAAGTGTTTACAAAAGGAAAGGTGTATGGCAGGTAGTATCCTTTCACCCTTCTTATTCAATTGTTATGCTGACCAAAAAATCTGAGGAACTGGACTTCATGAAGTAGAACTCAGAATCAGGATTAGAAGAACTCTCATTAACAACCTGTAGGTATGGAGCTGTAAATCAGCACTGGACTGCGAGCTGCAAGGTCAGTAGTTCAAAACCACCAGCTGCTCCTTGGAAACTCTATACAGGGTTGTTATGAGTCGGAACCGACTCAACAGCACACTTAACAACAACAACAAATATGCAGATGACAACCTTGTTTGTTGAAAGTGAAGAGGACTTGAAACATTGATGAAGAGCAAAGACTACAGCCTTCAGTGCGGATTACATTTCACTGTAAGGAAAACAAAAAATCCTTACAATTGGGCCAATAAGCAACATCGGGATAAACAGAGAAAAGATAGACATTGCCAATGATTTCAGTTTACTTGGATTCATGATTAAAGCCCTTGGTGAGTCTAGTCCAGGTTGGGCAGGTTCAGGGCCATAACCAATGTGGGTTGTTGTTGTTAAGTGCTGTCCTGTCTGTTCCAACTCATAGCAACCCTGTATAGTGTTTCCAAGGAACTGTTGGTAATTTGAACCACCGGCCTTGAAGTCCAGTACTTTATCCTACAGCACTATACCAGGACTCACATAATGTGGGGTTATTGTTGTTAAGTGCAGTCCAGTCGGTTCTGCTTCCTAATAACCCTGTATAGGGTTTCTGAGGAGCAACTGGTGGGTTTGAACTGCCAATCTTGTGGTTCACAGCCTAGTGCTAATCCTATAGCGCCACAGCAGGAGTCTAAAAAACATACACACAGCTGTTTCAGGCAATAGTGTGTAAGTTTGATGGCAACTTTGTTAGCCTCCGCTAGCCTAGTTGACTGAGAATCCTATCAACTGCGTTTTCTAACCCACTTATAAATAAATTAGTTTCAGTTTGTCTCTGTATAGGTTTGAGGCAGATATGATTACTTCTGTTTCATAGTTTTAGGAGGTAATGGAGAGTAATTGTGAAGTATTGAAAATGCCCTTGAGTTACTAACACCAAAAAATCAGCTGATATTTAAGGAGCATCTGAGTATGTGAGTGTATTGGTTGAAAACATGTAAACATTATGTTGCAAAATGTCAAAGGTACTGAACTATTCTTAAACAGCACTTAGTAATTAAAGAATATATCATTTTTTCATGTAGTATATTTAGCTGAGCAAAGATCAAAATATAGAGTTGTAAAATCAAGGAAGTGGAATAGATGTTTTAGAGGTTAGTCTTTATTTATTTATTTTTTTCACTACTGGCCTGACTATGCCCTTTCCCATTGTATAATAATAGCCCAGTGGCCTTTGGATCTGCTCAGACACTGTGTGATTTAGGGTAAATTACATAATCTCTTTTCTTCAGTCTTCTCACCTATAAAACGGGGTTGTTGCTGTTAAGTGCTGTGGAGTCAGTTTCAATTCATAGCTGTATAGAGAACCCTTGGCGTGGAGCTGTAGGATAAACATTGGACTGCAAACCACAAGGTCAATGGTTCAGTGGTTTAAACCCAGCAGCTGCTCCTTGGAAACCCTATACAAGGTCACTGTGAGTCAGAACTGACTTGATGACACTTAATTTAAAACAACATAGGGTTTTTCAGGAGTGATGTGAGTTTGAACCACAGAGCTTTTGGTTCAGATCAACTGTGCAGTCCAGTGTTTATCCTACAGTGCCACGCTAGGTAATAAAAGACTAACTTTTTTATTAGCATCTGAGCGCTTAACTATCCTGATACTACCAAAGCTCCTTGGATATGAATAAACTGGCAATTTGATCCACAACCTTGTATCTAACTAAGCAGGATAAGTATTGGACTGGTAACCACAAGGTCGCTAGTTCAAATTCACCAACTGCCCTTAGAAGCGCACCCCCACCCCCCCTTTTTTTTTTTTTTTTTTTTTTGAGGAACTAACAGTCTTTATTGGGCTCAGACCAGGAGCCCGTGGGTCTTGAGAACCTCTGTGTATTTGTCCATCTTCTTCTCCAAGTCCTTTTCGGCCTGTTTCCAAAGCCTCATAAGCTGCTTCTTCTTCCGATAATGGATCTTGGCCTTCTCCTTCATCTTCTCCAAGATGGTGGTCACCTTCTGATACTTCCAACCCACCTCGTGTGCTAGACGACCCAGGTAAGCAAACTTCTGAGTGACCTTGAGTCGCACAACGTTGAGGGCAGCAGGAACCACCATCCACTTTTTCTTGTCATAGGGGAGTGGGATCTAATCACACAGTTTGAGGTGGTCCAGGACAGCACTCGCACTGTCCGCCAGAAGATGCGGCTGGGGGCCCGGAAGTGGTATGGGCCTCGGGATGGGTTGGTGTTCATTCACTTGCAGAGGAAGGCCAAGTACTTCAACTTGTTTCCGTAGAAGTTGCCAGAAATGTTGATGTCCTCACAGTGCACGACCACCACCTTCAGGCCCAGCAGCATTTGTTTGGACACAATGGCCGTCAGGCGGCCCAGGAGATGGCCTTGGCCATCGAGCACCAGGACCTGCTCCTCCGCCATCTTAGGCAGCCGCCTAGGAAAGAAGAAAGCTTCTGCCCAGCGTTTCTCATCCCCTGAAACAGGGGCGATGGAAGTTGATATGAGCAGGAACCAACTCAAGGGCACATAACAACTACACAGAAAATTTTAAAGGGAATCAAAGGCCAGCTTCCCACAGCAGGGGGAGCTGACAAACTAAGATTTGAAGGGAAGCAAAGGCAACTTCCTGCAGCAGGGGGCGCTGAAAAGCACGTTCCAACTGCCACAGGTTGGTGGGGCCTGGATTTGTGTTGCACTCTCTAGAGACATCTCCTTGAGTTTGAGACAACTGTATCAGGGACAGCAGTGGTCAGCGGCAGCCGTTTCCTACACGCACTGGTTGACACCTCTGAGGGTATGATCTTAACAGCAAAACTTCAGGGGAAAAGCCCTTATTTCCACTTCATTTCTTTTCTTAAACTGAACCTGAGTAATAAGCTACACCAGGGCGTTGATGTGAGAATTAAATAAAATCGCATAATTGTTGTTGTGTGCCCTGGAGTCGGTTCTGACCCATAGCGACCCTGTATAGGGTTTCCAGGGAGCAGCTGGCGAGTTTGAACCACCAAACACCGACCATGTAGCATAAAGGGGCTTCTAAAAGTTCGTGGACAAATAGAATGAAAACGTCATGGAATTTGTGAACCCGTGTTCACAATATAACACAATATAAATTTGTGAATTTGAAGCCGGTGTTATATGTAAATCTCTTAAAACAGTGCTGTTTTAACACTTTGTATTCAATACATGTTATCATTTGAATTTTTACTCGGGATGGGATCAAGCTGAAAATAACAATCTAGACCAAGGGTCAGCAAACTATGACTTGTGAGCCAAATCCAATTCCCTTTCTGTTTTTGTACAAAGTTTTATATTGGAACACGGCTATGATCATTCTTTTACATATTGTCTATGCAACAACACAATTGCAAGAGCAAGTGTGTGGGCTACAAAGTCAAAAATATTTACTATCTGGCCTTCTACAGAAAAAGTTTCATAACCCCTGGTCCAAACTACTAGAATGAATGAGGAGTATGAGTACTGGGAAGTACTCGTGAAAGTATTGTTGTTGTTTTGTGCTGTGGAGTCAATTCTGTACAGTGACCTGTACAGGGTTTCCAAGGCTGTAAATCTTTATGGGAGCAGAAAGCCTCATCTTTCTCCCACGGAACAGCTGGTAGTTTCGAACTGCTGAAAACTAGTTTGGGAAATTTTCTTTCTGTAACGATTCAAAGTAGACTCCTGGTATGGCACCATAGGATAAGCACTCAACCTCAAGGTCGGTTTGAACCAAAAGGTGGATGGTTCAAGCTCACCAGCTGCTTCTCGGAAACCCTATACAGAATCTTCCTCTTACCACTACTACAAATACAATTATCCGGAGCATTACAAATATCTTTAATGAATGCTATGTGTTTTGTTTTTTCCTATTGACTTACTTTCTAGCAAGTTGCTCCCACTTCTTATTTCTATTAATCCG